GTCTGAGTACCTGCGATCCAATCCTGTCTCAAACTCTGACTAGCTCTGTGACTCTGGGCAAACCATTTAACCTCTGTCAGACTTAGTTTCCTCGTCAGTAAACTGGGGATAATAATAACACCAATTCCCAAGTTGTTGTGAGGATCGAATGAGGTAATATTTGTAAAGTTCTTGGCATTATATGGGTTCTTCCTTCCTTCTTCTAGGTTTCCCTTTCAGACAGAAATCTCTAATCCTGTGTCCCCCAACTAGCTATAGTAAGTTGGATGTGTCCCTCAACCTGCCTGGGCTTCCATGTCCTCATCTTTATATTTCAAATCCCTTTGAACTATCAGCTTTTTGACAGCAGTGACTTTGTCTTGTGTTCTTGTCTAGCCTGCTGTCCAGCCCTTAGTAACAGCTCCATGAACCCTTTGTTTAATCTATTGATTCTATTAACCTCTTCAACTTTCTTCAGCATTTCATCCATTGGAGCTGAGCTACTGTTTCAGGTTTTCTGTGGAATAAAAGTGATTTTTTTATTGGAATTATTTGGGAGGAGTCGGGTCTATCCAAGGAAAGCTATGTCTTACAAATTCTGCTTTTGCCATTTTTCCCCCTGATGAAAACCTAAACCTCAAAGGGCTGGGGACCTCCAAAGAATACCAGGAGGCCTGTTGTGATTACAGACATTATGAATTGAAGAGATGGAAGGGATCTTGGAGCTCATGTAGTCCAACCCTCCCTTTTACAGACAAGGAAACAGAGGACCAGAGAGGGAAAGGACCTTTTCTAAGGTCACTAAGTGGGTAAAAAGGCAGCTAGGTGGCACATTGGATAGAGTGCCAGGCTTGGAGTCAGGAATACCTGAGTTCAAATATGGCCTCAGACACTTAGTAGCTGTGTGACTATGGGCAAGTCACTTAACCCTGTTTGCTTCAGTTTCCTCATCTGTCAAATGACCTGGAGAAAGGAATGGCAAAGCACTCCAGTATCTTTGCCAAGAAAACCTCAAATGGGGTCACAAAGAGTCCAACATGATTGAACAACAAAATGAGTGGACCCAAAAGTCTTCAAACACAGGAGCAGAATTCGAATTCCACTGACCATTAAGGCATTATCTAAGGTAGCCTTTTTTAAAAACCCATTTTCCCCCAATTGATGAGTTCATCAGTTTTGGGAACTCCACCAATGTAGATCATTGAGCAACTCTCTGTAACTTACAATCTCAGACAGGCCCAGGGATGCTGAGAGGTTAAGTTGACTTGGCTAGGGTCACACAGTCATTGAGGATCAAAGTAGGGTCTTCTTGACTCCAAGGCCAATTCTTTATCCGCTACAAGAATCTGCCCCTCTCTAACATAAAAATAATTTAAATGAATCCAGGAACTTCTCACTAGAAATATTTTATTGTATTCCAATGCAGATTTTGTTTTAAACATCAACAGACATTTATTTGGATCTCCAAATTTAGAGTCTACAATAAGGATCTTTCAAGTACATTACAAGATGAATTTTCATAAAAATTCATTGTAGCATTTAAAAAATGTGCATATATCAGCAAAAAAAGGGGTTTTCTATGAATGGAGAGGGGAGTCATTGGAATAAGCTAGGAAAGAGGGAAATTATGGTGGGAGAATGCTGCATATTCTGCCTCTAAATATGTTCGAATTCTCTGATATTAAGATATACAATCACTTTCATACTTGGCATCAGGAAGATCTGGGTTCAAATTCCTTGTGTTATACTTCTGGAAAGAAGGAAGTTGGGTAGATGATTTCTAACTCGCCTTCTAGCTCTAAATCTGCTGCTATTAGCATTGGTGGAGGTAGCTTCCTACAAAGAGAAAACCACACATCCTCCCCATATTCCAGTAAGTGACATAGAGCCAAATGCCTGTTGTTCTCCTGGAATCCAAAGAGACAAAATTGTTATAACATTGGCACATAATGAAACATTCAAATTTCACTTGAGAGAAGTGAAGGGCCCAGGAGTTAAACATTGAAGACTTTTATTGATTCAAAATCAAATGTGAGAAAAACATCAGGACTGGATTTTTTTCACCACATGTTTACCAAAAGAACATTTCCCAACTGAGCTCTGGATCTTAATAAAAATATATATATTTACATTTGATTTCATCTCTTTCAGTCTAAACATCTCTCAGCATCTTGATCTCAGGGCATTTTCTGGGGAACCATAGCCATGCCAGGAAGTCTGTGTTTATTTACCAGTCACCAGATGACACATTTACTTCACCTCCTGTTTCTTAGTCTGAAACTTGGAATCTTTTTTTTTCTAAACTGAAAGAAACCTTTGGGATAAAATTGAAGGAAGAGAAGGGACTAGATAAAAATGACTCCACAGCCTGAATTATCTTTGCTCTTGCCTTCAGATATTGCATCTGAGGACTGAGAACTCCTGTCTTTGCATCTTGAAATTTCAACCCTCCTCTGAAATTCTTGTTTACAAGTGGCAGTTTGAGGAGGGCAGAAGGAGAAAGCTTTGAATGGTTTCCATCCAAAATTATGCATCATTAAAAAAAAAAACTTACTCCCTCCTGTAATTTATGGGGGTGGGGGAACAGTGACCAGTAGACAAATAACAAAAGAGAAAGGAATCTATTTACTAGGGATATGACACTGGACTGGTGGAAATAAAATGGGGTGGGCTGTCACTAATGAAACCCCCTCTCTATGAGGCACCTGGTATACTCAGGAGGTTTGGTCCTCAGTGACACTGTGCATCTCTGAGGGCTGCTCTGTGGGCCTGAGAAAAGCCTGTTCTCTACTTTGCCCTCTCTTCTTCCTGTTGTCTTCTCCTGATCTCCCCTTCTGCTTTAGCCTTAAATCGGGAGATCCAGAGAGTCCCTTCCAAGTGTTCCATCGGTCCCAAAGGGAGTTTTCTCCCTCAGACCACAGAACAGTAGGGTGCAGTGGGGAAAGTGTTGGACTGGGAGTCAGGAAAGACCTGGATTCCAGTTCACCTCTGACAGCTACTAGCTTTGTGAGGAAGAACAAGTCTCTTCTCCAGAGTTGTCTCACCGGTAGAATAGGGATAGGATTAACATACCACCAGCCGCACTGCCTCTGCCACCAGGTCTTTGTGAGTGTCAGTAAAGCGTTTTTGGTTTTGTTTTGTTTTGTTTTTGTTTTTTTTTTTTTGCAAACCTGAGTGCCATCTAAAAGTGCTGTCTGAATGTTACCAATGATATTAGCAGATGGATCCAGTTAAAGCTACAGAGCAGGCAGTGAGGGGTTATCAGGTGGGTCATAAGACCTAGGATCATTGGTTTCGATCCAGAAGAGACTTTAGAGATCATTCTAGCCCAATGCCTTTTTTTTTTTTTTTACAGATGAGGAAACCAAGGCCTGTAGAGCTGAAGTGATTAGGTCCCCCAGGTAAGAAATGGCAGAGTATCTACCGTCCCCTGGCTCCAAATAGACCGTTTTTTCCACTGCCAGGAGCGAACGTCGAGATCAGCCTTACTTCTGTGAAGGAAGCGAGGAGTGGGGATACACCCATTGGAAAAATGTCTGCCACTGACTTGGGGGGTGGGGGGCTTTGGAGGGAAGGGAAGGAAGAGGCACATTGCACTCGTAGGGAGTTAAATAATGTTAGTTGACTAAGTGAACATACTGAAATGTGCTGATGGGATGCATCAGACCCTTTGGACATTCCTTATTCTAGGTGAAAAGGAGCAAGCGGTCTAGCCTGGGCTTGGCCAAGTGACCTTGGACAAGCTTTCCTGCTCTAGGCTCTTCTCTCTCACCTGCAAAAGGAGAGCCCCGAAGTCGACGATCTCTAAGGTGTCTTCTACCTTAAAAGAAAATCTGAGGTGCTTGCCATCTGACAATGGAGACCATGCAGTCAAGACATGAAAATTAACCAAAAATGGAGGGGACAGAGCATCTTGGCGACCAAATTGTCGGGGACCCGTGAGGGAGACAGTTTTTATGCACCATCTGTAGGCGCAGGAGACAGACGGCCGGGAGCAATCTCCCTGGGCTCTAATGCCCCTCCCCGCAGAACAGTCGGGAGGTGCAGGGTGCGTCACCAGGTCCTGACGCCCTGCAGCGTGGCTTGAAGATGCCCCTGGGAGCTCTGGGCCGACTGATCCGGCACGGTGAAGCTCAGGTTCGCGCGGGAGCCTACCGCCTGGTAGCCCGCGGCAGGAACAGCGCTATAAGGGGCGCCGTAGCAAGGGTAGGGGGCGTAAGGCGGAGCGCCATAGGGCTGGCCGCCTGCTCGGACGCAGGGTCTGCCGTCGCGGACCAGCACCGGCACTGCCACCCTGCGCGCCGGCAGTGGCGGGGGCGGGAGCGGCTGGCCGGCCAGCTCCAGGGACGCGTCCTGCCGTTGTCGCTTGCACTTGTAGCGGCGGTTTTGAAACCAGATTTTCACCTGCGTGGAGGTGAGCCGCAGCGCGCGGGCCAGGTGTTCGCGCTCGGGCGCCGACAGGTACCTCTGCTGCCGGAAGCGGCGCTCCAATTCGAACACCTGAGCCTGAGAGAAGAGGACGCGGGGCTTCCGTCGAGGACGAGCCTTGGAGCCTCTGGGGCAGCCCGAGCTGCTGATACTGTCCGCGCCCGGGCCTTGTCCTGCAAGCAAACGAAACAGGACCGAGAGGGAGACAAGAGCGTGAGCAGCCCAAACTCTTCCACCCGAATCTGGGTAGCCCGAGTGCTTGTAACTCCAAGGACGCTCTCCCGCCCTCCCACCCGTGCCGCCAGATGTAGAGAGGGAGCTTGGAGGTACTGGAAAGGGTGTTAAACACGAAGCCAAGGCATGTGTGCTTTTAACTTCTGCTTGGGACACTTAGAGCTGTGGAACCCGGACCAGACATTTAACTTTTCTTTGTGCTTCAGTTTTCTCATCTGTAAAATGGGAGCGATAACGCCTATAGTACTTACTTTAGGAATATACCGCTATGTACATAAAGTGCCTTGTAAGTCTTAACTTCCCATACAAACGCCAGCCAATTATGCTAACTATGTGATCTAGGGCAACTCACTTCACTTCTGGACCTCAGTTTCCCCTTCTGCAAAATTAAAGGGTTGAAATAGATCAAAACCAAGACTCTTTCCAGTCCAAAAACTTAAGGAGACAATGAAGAGTACTGGACGTAGGGATTCGTTTTGCTCGACTGCATATTGTCAGGAGGATTTTGTTTTTCTTTTTTTCTTTTCTTTTTCCCAGTGGGTGGAGGAGGTAGAAGGAGCAAATAAATGCTCGTTAATTGAAAAATAAATTTGTTTAAAAGATAGAGTAATTGACTCCGAGTCCCGCGATCCGAACTGTAGCGCCTGAAAGGACACCAGAGGTCAAATTAGTCCAACCCCCACCTTCTGAAAGACAAGGAAACACTTAGGACGTTAAGTTAACGTCTCCTTAGGACGTTAAGTGACTAACTAATCCCAGGTTACATAGGCAGTGGGTGGTCAGATGAGTTTTGAACCCAGGTCTTCGGATTCCAAAGCCACCATACCACGCCTAGGAGCGAGTCTAGGCTTTGGCATGCACTATCTGTGCGACTGTGGGCTAGACAATCGATCCATCTGTTTCTCTAGATACACGATGGAGACAATAATAACTCCACGACCATAGGGTTGCTGCAGTGAGGAAAAATTTTTGTAAACCGTTCAATGGCCTCATATGAAGGAGCTATTTTCATTCTGTGTTAATGATCCTCTTGCCTTAAGTCTGCCTACATTGCCTATATGTTACCTAAGACCCATGGTTTGTCCATGTGGGAGCTCAAGCAGTTAGTGCAGATGCCTAATTTTTTAGTCTCTTAGCTAAATTTCATGAGTTGTCCGGTTAAAACGTGTCAACCCTCCGATAATTGACCTCTCAGTGTTGTGAGGTTGCTCTTGGGACCCTGGACCCGGTACATTGCCAGTACAATGCTAGGCAGGTACTACAAGTTTCCTGAGCTTGGTCGTACCTGTCACACAGCTGTTTGAGGCAATGCTCCCAATGCAGAGATCTGACTTGTCTTTCCCTGCTTTCCGTTGTAGAGGCTGGTATTCCTTCTCTCTGTCTCTCTGTCTCTCTCCCCTTCTTTTCTCTCTTTCTCCCCTTCTTCTCTCTGTCTCTTCTCACTCTCTCATCTCTCTGACTGTGTCTT